GATTAGGAGTTAACACAGACTGAGATCTATTGCCATATGATCTCCTATGTTATTTCAACACGAGCTGAATTGCGTTATGAAATTAAACATAAAGTGTGCAATACATTTCAAAGCACCATTTTGGAAAAGCAAGGACTTCTTTATGTTATCAGCATTCTCACATTTGATGTACTCAGTTGCTATGCAAATTGACAGTGCAAAACGCTGCTCAACAAAATTGCAAATGAAGCAGTAAAAGGTAATATCCAAAAAAGGATCTAGAAACTTTAGTTTATTACACAAAACTGTCCATGTGGAAGCTCCAGCTCCACAGACACTGTAATTCCTTATCGTTAAGAATCAGAAATGCCTGAAAAGCTGATCTTTAACACATACACATAAATGTCTTCCATTTGGCAAGACTCAATAGCTTAGCCCTCATTTCAGGTTCAAACCAGGATGTTACGAAGAAAATGTGTGTTCCTTCACCCGGATCAGTGAGTTTTCAGTGAGTATTCTAGTTTAATAACATTAAGCTTCCTACGAAATGTACTATTGTGTATGTTCTCCTCTAGAATTGCTTACTGAACACTGATGAAAAAATCAGAGGTTCTGAATACTTTAGAAGGTGCTTCACCTAAAATTGTTTAATGAATAGGATTAAAACAAATCAGCAAACTGAACATAATAAGAGGATCAATACAGCCCCTTTCTATGTTCTGTTGAACACCTATTCTGTGGTAAAAAGGTTGGGATTAAAAGAAAATTAGCCCATTCACACCTAATAGTTATTGCTGTCCAAGAAAGCTGGAGGAAAGGGGGGTAATAGCAAGACAGTAATGATGAAAGACACCTGGAAGACACCTATGAATCAGTCATTCTTGTTGTTCCTGCTCTCAGTTACATAAACAGAGCTATGAGCAGTGTTTGAGTTATTGGTTATACAAAGTGACAACATCACTCTGCTCACCAGGATCACCTCACCAGAACACTAGTTAACTGCATGACATGTCCAAAACAAAATAAACCATTAGATCATCTTAACTCATGCCAAATACACTCTGATGTTACCTGAAATTAAACTGTTTTAATACCACTTGCAACTTTTAGCCATGAAACATTAGAAGTGACCTGAAACCTCCACAAACACTGCCAGAGAACTTTCCTCCAGCAGGCCTTATGCTGGCAGGAAAGATTCCTCCTCCTCTTTTTTGAGAAGAAAAAAAGCAGAAATCAAATTGCTGAGTTCTACTTTCAGATTCTTTTCTGCACTTCAGTGGGAAAAAAAAATACTAAGACTGTGAGAATAGTATGAAAAGCACAAGTTCTTCCTATTTTACTGATTTTTTTGAATAACAGAAAGAAAAAAATGCAAAGAAAAATGATTGTAGGAAGAGTGGTTGTTTCTCTGTTTCATTTACAGGTAGCAAAAAAAATGAATAACATAGAAATCTGACTGTCCTATTTCAGATTCATGATTTAGGTTTTCAGAACACATTTTGCAGGATTAGACGTGGAGGTCTGGGTCATGTCTTGCTAGTAAAAAATATAAGGGCAGATGGACCATATGGTGCCATGAAGAAGTGCCATGAAGTGTCAAGATACAAATTTATAAGGTTACCACTTCCTAAAGTAAAGTTACTGTCAAAATAATGAGGCAGGCAGCAGAGGAACTACCATCTCTCATTCTGCAAATGCAGCGCAGGATGAAGCCCAGTGAATAGAGTTTCAACCAAGTTTTTCTAATTCATTGCAGCGATTGTAATTAAAAAGCTCAATGGGCAAAATTCCTGAAAGAGTTCACTGCTTATCTTAAAAATGTTAATTTTTAATTAATACATTGTCCTTGGAATAAGTCTCCAAGCATAACACACAACCCACACTATCAGTCAGTCACAGTTTTGCATGCTGCTATTACTTGCTTGTATTCAAAATAAAATAAAATTCATTTTCCAGAGATGAGCAGAGCTGGTTTACTTTCTAGCTCTCCAAAACACTAACCAATCTAAAATGCCTTAAAGACAGCACAAATAGACTCGGCCGATTATTTACACCTAAGAGGCTGAGCCTAATATGAGTTTGGGGAAATTACAAACAAGACTACAGACAGTCTTCACAGAGTGTGTTAGTAATTCTAGTTCTTGTGCTCCTCCTCATTATTTCATCAACATCATTATTATCACGCATCTTACTGCCTTGTATGGTTAACAATTGCCTTAAATAAATGGGTGTCTGATTTTTATTCCCCTGAAGGAGGAAAAAGCTACTCAGGCCTGGGATTGTTGTGCTTGGTGTGCTTCCTGCGATGCGACATGAGTTCTAGCTGTACAACTCTGTGTGCAATTGTACTTTCTGAAACATATTCCTGAGCAAATGCAGAAAACCATGAAGTCCTGATTGCCTATCATAACTCAAAAAAACAAAATAAAGCTCACAAGAAGTACAGCCTGCCTGGCCTTGCAATCTTTGACAACAAGAGGTGAAAGGATTCTGCAGCTCCATTGTCTCAGCTGCGGGATCTAAGAAAACACTGGCAGGCTCATCAGAGAGGTTTATGAGCCTGCAATTCAAAGAGATTAAAAGGAAAAAAAAAATCTACTGAGATTCTTTCAAGCTACAGAACAACATTAAATAACTATTAGCAGCTTGGTTCAGTAAAGCTTTACTAGAGCTCTTGCTGGGTCATTCAGAAATTGTAAAAAGAGGAAAGGTATTTAAGTTTCACTTGAGGATACAATAAATATTTCTTGGGCTATTTAGGGCTGAGTTTTAAGGAGGAGGTGCAAGCAGTAAACAGAAATATAACCCTTTTAACAGTTTATGATAATAGTAAAAATAGTCATGACACTTAAAAGATTTTTCTAGCTCTTGGATAGTTTTTTCTTTAAACACAAGTCATTAAAAAAAAAAGTTCAAGATACACCTTGCCAGAAGAAATTCAGTCAGTAGTATCTACTCTGTCTCAAAAAAATTAGACAAAATCATTCATCACAATACTCAAAATCTGAATATGAAGTTTAATTTTAGACTATTTAGGCTAAAGTTTTAGGCTAAAATAGGCTATTTTTTAAACACTTAATTTTCTTGAATATTTTACATAATTCATAATAACCATGCTTGCTTTTATTCGAAATTGTAAAGAAACTTTGTGTTAAGAATTTTCCTAACGCAAGTCTTACAGACTAAAGTTAAACCCACCGAGCTGTGGTAGGAGCTTGTGCTCCATCATTAGCTGAGGGCCTGTAACTGTAAAATGCCTCGTTAGAGACAGACATACAGGTCTGTCACTTCAGAGCCACACTCAAAGCTTTATTTTAGTTTTAAAATATTTGTAAAGAGAAGCTCTCTTAACAAGGAACTAAAGTATGCTGCGTTCTACTTTTTTTCTTCTAATATAGTAGTCAGGATGTTCAATTGATATTTCTGCTAGGTACTAACAGCAGTTTATAGGCTGAAACATTGGAAATTCCAGTTAGATAACAAGAATTACAGGCTGTAACAAGCGAAGCAAGAACAAAAGGGAAAATAATGCTGATAAAATGTAGTCATATATGAAAACTCCACCTTAATAATTTTCTAAGAATAAAATTAAAAACTGAAAATCAACAGGAGGCCTGTGCTCAAATAAGAAAATGCCCATTGATGATTGCATACCCAGCCGTTCCAAATGCTTGTACCATACGGATACCTGCATCCATCATCACATATAAAAACATATGTCCTGGAGAAAACCAGTACCGTGTCCAGTTTTGGGCTGCCCATCCTGGAGCGAGTACAGTGGAATATCAGCATGGTCAGGGCTGGGGCAGCTGCCAGGGAGGGAGATGCTGAGGGACCTGCGCTTGTTGAGGGGACATCGTTGTTCACAGCTACCTAGCACGGAGTGCAGAAGACTTCTCCAAGGCACAAAGCGGACGGATAAGCAGCAAAAGGCACAAGTTGCCAAAAGGGAAATCCTGACTGGATATAAAGAAAACATTTTTAACCTGAAGAATTGAAACAGACTGCCCAGAGCATTTGTGCAATCTGTAGCTGTGGAGATAGTTAAGATTTGACTGGACAGTCTGAATAAATCATCTAACGGAGATGAGATTTCCAACCTAACATGATTCTCCGATTCTATGAAACATTGTTTATTCTTTTATGTGCAACAAAATCACACTTTTAGGCCCCAGATATTAAAAATATAAATCAAATCATATTAGAGCTAAACTCGCTGAAAAACATTTGTTAATTATTATTAGACTGCTTTTTTAACTGCATATTCATTTTTTCTAAACAGAATACTGAATGAAAAATGGAAAATCCTTAAGCTGAAGAAAAGTATCCCTTTAGAGCAGGTAAACTATGGTACAGCTTTTTTCCTCTCCCCTAGATGGAGACTGGAAGCAAAAGATGAAAGACTATTCTTATGTCATGACCAATATGGTAAAACAAGGAGCTAGAAAAGATATCCACAAAACATCCCCCCAAAAAGGGAATTCTTGTAAAGTTTCCAGGAAGGTTTGGATATGCACCTGAGCCAAACCTCTAAACAGTTTGAGGTTGGTCTATTGCTCTTTACTGCAGTGTCCTCAATGCACAACAAGTTAGTTGCAGAGCTTCAGAGAAGATTATTTAAGATGAGAGTAAATTGTTATTCCCAGTGAGTCAGGAAAAGAAAAAAAAAAGAAAAAAGCCATGGAGCCCTTCTTTGGCCACTGATTTCTTTGCTGAGGAACTAAACATTACTTAATACAATGAGATATACACAAATAAGCAATCTGCTCAAAGGAAAAAAGACTACAGTACAAAGGACGCCTTCCTGACTGGCTGCCACACACGTGTGCACACTGGTATCATTCAGATTCTTGCTTCTTAGGCTTTAAAAATCTTGCTCTGTTTTCTGCACTGTTTCCCTTAGCCACAGTCTTGGTTCCTTTGTTTCTGTGAGCGTTTACAGCAGTGTCAATGCGTTTGTCTGGAATCATGATTTCAGAAGGAACTTGACAGCAGCCAGGCAACTAGAGTTCACTTTATTTCACCATCATTCAGCTGCTGCAAAGAATCCAGCAACACTGCACATACATGTTTTGCTTGTTTAAAACACTGGGCCCTCTGTGAACAGGAACTTCTATATGAACATATATCCCATCTTCCAAATACGCAGTGCAGTGTCAAAGGAGCATTCAAATGCACTATTTGTTTTCCCTTTTTTACTAAGCATTTTTGCAGTCTTGAGGTGGCTCTTTAGGAAAAATCATTTGGATGCAAAAGAATCTCACTAAAATATCATAGCATGAATTCTCCTGAAACTAGTTTATAGTAAGATTCTTTAATAGCATGGGAAAACAAAGTAGGTTATTAATTCTTGATGTAGTTTTCCGGATCTCATTGGATAAACTTGACCTGAGAAAATTAACACTTCATCTTCAGTATTTCAGCTTTAGGTAAATGTCACTACATCTGTGAAAAACTTGAATGAAATATGCCATTAAATATTTCATTTTTCCTGCTTATATGTAGTTTGTGAAAATGGATGACACACTTTATACTTGCAAAGCAAAGAGTCCAAGAAAATGAAAGGGCAGCAGAAAGCCCTGTTCTGCCATTAAATCTTTTTTTTAAATAAGCTTGAAATGATAATTTATCATGATAATCATCATCATAATCATCACATTATGATCTGTTTACATTAAAGAATTTCCCAAAAGTAAAAAAAAATTGTTCAATAATTCTCCTTCCCCCACCTTCTTTTCCAAACCCGGCACGAAGCCTGAAATACGAGATTGTTTAACTGCAGAATTCAGACTGGGTATATACAGTTCTATACCCTCCTTTTCATCCCGCAGCGCTGCGTATCTGCTAGAATGACTAAACCTTTGTCTCTCGAAGCCCTGGTATCCGCAGCGGCAGAGGAGTTAAAAACCAGCACAAGAGAGGAAGGGCTGATGGTGTGCCAATGTACAATGGCAGCAAATTCAATAACAAGCTGCAGAGACAGTGGGCTTTTATCAGACACATTCAAAAGTGGTGGTGGCTACACGTCAATGCTGGACCCGAGTGTGTTACTGCAGAGTGCGACTGAGTGTTTTCCCCACAGGCGATACACTATTATTGACTCCCCCCATTAACATGTAGGGTGGATATACATTTATTGAAGGTTCTAATGGAAGGCTGAGGGACTCCTATCCCGAGGCCAGAGCAGAAAGACAGCCTATCACTTCATGTAATGGTAGTCCATGTGTGACAGACCTGACCTACATTTCCCCCCTTTCTTTCTCACAACAGCCTGTCACTGTTTTAAGAAGCTATTTTCTGAGAGGTATAAAAAGAAAGGCAGGCTAGGGTTGCCTAGTTAATGTGTTATATTGGAATATTATTTATAAACCTGCTTTAAAAAGGCGACTTTAGATTACAGATAAATTATGAAAGCTACTCTGACACACAGACACAGAAAGAATCTGCCTTAATGATTCTCAAGTACTTATAAACCCTTATGTACTGAACACAAGATATAAACTACATAATATCACTATCCAAAACACTGCAACAAAATACAACATAGACTTAAATTTATGAAAATAAGAGCACTTAATGAAGCTGCTTTAATATAGTAAAAAGAGCTAAGCTCTGTAATTAGTCTAACTTTCATATTCATTAAAATTATTAGAAATACCACCACCTAATGTTTTGTAGGAACCAATCCCACGTCTTCACTAAGTAATGTATGCGCAGCAAAAGCTCTAAATAATGTATCCACATTTGAAAGTAGGACATGAGCGAAAGAAACATTTGGTTCAGCAATAAACAGCATTTTAAAATACCATCTCACTAGTGCGCCCAGACCCCGCTTTAAAGAGCCGCTGCCACTGCAGCCTCCCTGGCAGGAACCTACCGCGCTGCTGCAGGTCATACTCTTTTTTTGTCTCTTCGTTGCCTAGAATTTTCCACGCTTGATCAATTTCGATGAACCTCTGCACGCGCTCCTCCACTTCTCCCGCTGACACATCTGCGCTCTGCTTGTCTGGGTGATACTGCCAATCACAAAAAGATTTTAGAAAGTTGAGGGGAGCGGAAGTGAGCAGGGTGGAAGCGGAGCAATCAATAATGCATTTGATATTCAGTTAAAACGATGGAGAAAAGGAGAATGTCTGAACCAAGGTGCCAAAGAAAGGGAGACAACAACACTGGGCACAGGAGATTACTGCCAATTTAATTAGACCACTGAAAGAGCAACAAAGCCACCAGTGGCACAAATGTCACCATGTGCACTGACGGCATTTTCTGGATAATTTGCTGATGGAATCATTGGTCTTATGGACAATTTACCTAGAGAGAATGACTAACACAAACAGAAATAGGTACATGCAGAGAACTACGACATGGGAACAAGAGGAGCTGCTGTAGGTACGAGCAGCTCTCTTTAAAAGAGAACATGTAGCTGATTTAACCAAGGCCACTGATGCTCAGTGGAGTCTATTACAGATAAACTGAACGCTGGATTATGTGCTCCTGTTTTATTGATTTAAATACCAAAGGAATATACACGATCAAATATAGTTCATAATAAATGTAAATCTGTTTTTGAAAATATGCCTCAACATCTCTAATTTCTTCCAGTTCAGCGAATCAATAGCCCTTCCAAATATTTAAAGTCATGGATCACTGACTACAGAATTGTGTCATTTTAGTTAAGAAATGGTTATTCAAGGACATTGCTACAAGAACACACATGTTACATAGGCAAAAGTAATTAAAATGGAAACACATTTTCTTTATCAATTCTAGTACTGATCCTGAACACACTATTCTGACTTTTGGGTCTAATGTCTATCGAAAAGTAACCTTAAAAGTTCCACCTTCCTAAGAGTTCAATTCATGTCTGTTTTTTTTGTTTGAATTTTAAATGTCTGTGAAAAGTAACCTTAAAAGTTCCATCTTCCTATGAGTTCAATTCATGTCTGTGTTTTTTTTTTGTTTGAATTTTAAATGTCTGGCGCAAAGGTTGAAGCAGCAGGAAACAATATTTAAGATGAGACATCTGTGACAGCCTAAGATCCACTGTTCTGCATCATAAACCAAGATATCCCAAATTCTGGAGATTCAACTCTTGCCCTTTCAAACTAGCAGCACTTTGGACCCTACCATGGATTTTAAGACTTAGAATGCCTGTTCCACAAGCGTTTGAGCAAATTTCTCATCATCCAGATCCCTTTATTTTAGTTTGTAATTAGTTTTAGAAATTAAACATCAGAATTTGAGAATGCCACTTTTAGTGGAGTCTCTTTCTTCACTGACACGTGCAACCATCATTGGCACTGATGGGTATTATCTGGATAGAGTCCCCAAAGAACAAGCGAATGGACCCTACAAGCAAAAAATTCATCTTTGACCTCAATTTTTTTTCACATCTGTTTTTCCATGTAAAATGATCATATCTGCAAGCTCATTTTTGCTCTATCATAGAGCAAGCCCTCTGCATTCAAGACTGAGGACTAGCATTTAACCTGCTGAAAACATGGCTGCAGCACAGCTGTGAGCTGAGGCTTATCTTGTAGATACCCCTTTTTGATCTCCTCAAATAAGAATGACAAAATTCTCAGGCATAAACCAGTCAACAAATTTTGGTCACAGTCTTTAGTCATTGTATTCCATACAGCTAACAAAGAAATGAGTAATTATGCCTTTATTTGGGAGACACTAAATTCACACCATGCTCTGACAGCATGCACCAAGTGAAATTACTACTTAAACTATTTGGTTTTAGGCTGTTTTTATAAAAACATGAATTTTCCAATTGCCTTCTATTTTAATAGCATTTTAAAACATTGCAGCCTGATTGTGGACCTTAATTGTGAAAGGTCATTCATTTAATCATGCTTAATAAGTATACCACTCGGAAATAGTAGAATTGCATTAAAGACTTAACATGGTTTCCTTTTAGCCACACTACTTTTAAATACATTTGATGTATGCACCCACAAACTACACCTCAAAGCAACATTATAATATAAATATACTTAAAAATATCTGAAAATTTTTTTCAATAGTAAATGCTTTGATCCCCTCCAAGTTTTTTAGGAACCTATATTAGTTATCAATGATTAGTTATCAATATACAACAACCTTATAAAAGAATCTACTACTGAAGAAGAGCAAAAAGCTATTTTGGTCTCTGCTCTATAAAAACCTTCTCTCTCTTTCTCTTGAGCTTCTCTCTTCTTTCTCCTCCAAGACCACAAATGAGATGTCCAGGTGTCTCTCTTTCAATCGTTTTAGACCTTGTTTCAGTCAGCACAGATGTCAACCGCAGTCAACTCCTTGCCAAGGTTTCAACTGATGTACTAATATCTGAAGTATATACTCTGTCTGTATCCATTTCAGATACTGCCAACCACTTTCTTCCCCTTGCTCTCTTCACCCATCCTTGGTTTTCATACCCATCCTTCCACCCCTCTAGCATGTTCTTCTGAGAAACCAGCCAGGGATTTCTGATTTGGTTTGAAGGAGGTAAATGTGAAAGAAGTTTCTGATCTCTTCCTCTTTTCCTGTCAGCCTTATTTCTGAATTAGGTTAATCTCAGCTGCAAATGTGTACAAGCTCCCTAATGAAAACTGACAAGTCTTTTCTCTGTTCAATCCATCTCCCTGTACCCTAAATTATTAGCTTCTGTCTCCTTCTGTGCATCCAGTTATAAGTTGTTACTCAAACTGTTAGAGCCACCCAATGTCTCCTGCAATCTCATTTCTCAATAATTGTGCAAATTATCTTCTAAAGTGTCATTCATACCTGTCACCTGGGCACTATTTTCAGCTATATTATTGCACTTAGGCTATATTTAAATCTTCCTGGCTCTTTATGCATAATGTTTCTAAGCTGCAGTAATTCCTTCTATAAAACTAAGCTTTTTAACTGAGATCTTGACAAATGCAATCTTTCCACTCATATTCATTCAGGAAACTACAGCAAAAAAATGAATTCTTAGCATGATGCTTCGACTGTGTCTCTTTAGTCTTCTTACTATTCTCTCCTTCCCCAGCTGCTCCATGTTACATATTTCTATCTCCCTTTACTAAGTTTTAAAGGAAGTCGCACTGTGTTTTATCATGCTGTCCATGACACAGTCACTCTCTTGGAAAAGATATCCCAGTAAAGCCTGGAGAAAGTGCTTGTGCAGCAAAACTGTACTCATGTTCTCACTGTTTCGTGTCTTTGTGTCTGTTGCCTTTTGTTCATGTCTAGATCTTAAGCTTTTTGTGGCAAGAATATTCATCTCGTGACATTTCTACGTGTGCTAGTAGAACAGAAGGTGGAGTATGACATGTTGATTAGTCAGTTCCTGTATGTTTTTCATCTTGGAGATACGCAATAGGTACCTAACTCCAAGACCTGGCACGGAAGCACTACAGAAAGAGATTTTTACAACTGCTCTTTCAGTCTTTTTACATGTGAGTCAGAGATGGTGGGGGTGGACAAGCATACTCCCTTGCCTTCTGCCAGGGTAAGATTTGAGGGTTTTGCTTAAAAGTTTCAGAGTAACATTCCCACACCCCCACCAGTCAGCATTCAGGAATTAACCAGAGGTTTGCAGCCACAGTTAGGCCAGGCATTTATTATTATTAATAATATTGTTATTATTGTGATAATTTAAAGTTGTTTTAATTTTGTTCCTTTCCAAGCCTTTTGGTTGTTACGGTTGTTCGGTTATTCCATCGACACTTTTTCAAGCGGCTCAGTTAGCAAGTTAATATTTTGCAGATCATATGAGCATACAGAAATACAGTATGTTGTAAGGTACAGCTTTGTAAGCAGCATATTTACACAACTTGACATTTTTAATGCCTTTCATTCATATAGCTTACATAGTAAAGACATGAATTTTCAGAAAATCCTTTCCAAGGAATTACATTGTTTCTCTATTTTACAGATGAAGATGGTGGATATTACAGATCAAATAAGTTCCATTTACCTATATAGATACATATAAATAGTATTCTTTGCTTACTACTGCTACTACTAAATAGGACTTTACTAAAGATGTTTATCTGAACATGAGAGAGGGAGGAGAGAAAGGAGAAAGACGTTATGTCTAATCTAGCTTTTCTTTTTTATACTTGTAATAGTAGAAATTTGTTAGCTTCTTTTCATTGCTGAAGGCTGTCTGAAATTTGTATTCCTTTAAAGTACATGATGCTTTGTAACTACTGTCATTGTTAAAAAGTAGTTTTAAAAAAAGGCAGTAGTTAAAAAGTTCGAAGTGGAAATATATCAGTTATCTTTTATCTGTAAAAATCTATCTTATATATACAAGATTGGTAACTCTGACATTTCTCACAACTATCACATCACCACAGTATTCCTTAAAGATACTATGTCTTCATCTAAGGCTTGAAATTTCTTTTTAGGTTTTCAAAATCTCTGACAATTTCTGGAAAAAAAACCCTAAAAATTCAAAGTTCAAATTAAAAACCCCAGTTAAACAGTAAAACTAGATGATGATTCATATTTTTAATGCTGAACAAAAAACAGACAGACTAATACAAGGTTAGAACTATACATTTTTCAATTGCAATATCATTTCTTATTTTACCTTTCCAGAATATCTGCTTGATGGTATTTAACCCCCACTAGTTTTTAAATACTCTGGACTGTACATTTCTGTCATTTGGGTACAACAGTGAACAGGATACCAACTGGCAAACATGCTCTGAAATAGTCTGAATTATATCTCTGTAGTTATATAAATATCTGAATGTTTGGGGAAAAAAAAATCACAAAACATTTTTAGAATTCAGGGGAATTAACTGTATTTCATTATGTTAATTGATTGCCTTTAGTAACTATTACAAAATGCAAAACACGAAAGCAAGCAAGCAAACTTGTTCTGTCCCAATTACCAGAAAGGTATTAATGTTAAATTCACCAAATAAACAACTTACAGACGTGCTCTGAATTATTTAGAGCCCACCATATATTGATGGGATCCCAATTTCTACTTGTCTGTTACCTTCTCACTGATCCTGGCATTTCATTA